GATTTTGTTAAAAGGCCTAAAAATATAAAATCCAAAACGGGTGAGGATATTAGCAATTTTAGGACAAACGGGAGAGAAAAAAAACGGTAAAGTAACAAATTCTCCATAAGGATTTTAAGAAGAGGGGCGTTTCATTCTTAGCGAGTTTAGCAAGAGTTGAATCAACCATAGAATGGTTAAATCCGTGGTTAGCAGCAAGCGAGAGGTGGAAGTTAAGTTCCAGTTTAAAGAAGAGTCAGAGCAGAGGTCAAGTATGAAATGCAGGAATTTTCTGACAATTAGGGTCATTGGAATTAACATAAGGGGGTGAAGAAATGATAAAATGTTTACGATAAACAGAGATGGAAAAATGATCAGGATTGAATCAGGCAAAATGATTCGTTACAAAAACATCCAAAAAATGTAAAGTAAAATTAATTTCCTTCTCTAAAGAATGAATTTCGGGCTCAGCTGAGTTGATTACATAAAATAACTCTTGAAAATCAGTATCATTGTTTACTAAGACAACCGTATCGTCAACGTATTTTTTTCACCATGAGAATTTGAACAATTTAAGAACTTTCTTTTGGAAATAATGCATGAGCATGCAACAAAGAATGGGATAGGGGGAGGTGCCAAAGGATAAACCTTCAATTTCCTTACAAAAATTGCTATTGAATTTGAAAGCAGTTTGATGAATTCAGGAATTGACAAGGGAGATAATATCTACAATTTCAATGAATAGCACTAAATTAACAACATCAACAACATCATCAGAGAGCATAATTTTGTTGGAGGAAGAAAATTTTGTGTGAGTTGGGAAAGAAAATCATGAGAATTTTTAACAGTATCGATATTGTTGGAAGTTAGAGAGGCGAATTGATACGAGCTAAATAGCAAGCAAGTATATAGCACTGGGTATCAATGTTTCAGACAATAGGTCTGAAAGTTAATTGAGGATTGTGAAGTTTTTAACTTTAATTTGTTGTGCGACTGTTTTTATCATTAGATTGTGGACTGAATTACGTAGCTCTGTACTTCATGAAGGACAGAAATTTCTAGAACAGAACAACTGTGTTTGAACAAGAACTTTAGGCCTGGTTGAGAGGGAATTGGGCCCGTGAGCAAGAGGTCGTCAGTTCGATCCCCGACAGTGGAAGACTCTTCGTGTATTAAATGGTGACTGGTGCGCGTTAAATCTGTCGGGTCACAAAGTCCTTCCTGTTCCCATAGCAAATCATACCCCTGGGGGTAATGAATGGATCGATTGGGGTAATAGATGGATCGTTTTCGGTGGCATCTGAGAGAATAACCATTTCTTTGTAAGGAGTTAAATGCCTCGAAAGCTGTTGTAGAGTTACAAAAATAGCGTCTAGTTCTATATCAAAATGAGTTGTATGTTCACCCACTAGCAGATGAAAACTGAATAAATCGCTAAAGATACCTACACCTACTGGAAAATCAAAGAGAGATCACTCAGTATGCATACGCAACCATTCCTCAGGTCGAAAACAATCGTGTATGGTTTCAAGAGAGATTGCTTGAAATGCAACAGGACAAATATCGGATTTTCTAAATGACACTGATAGATTTAGTTGAATGTTCAGTTACATGAAATCTAGCGGACTCATGGTGAGTTTCAAAACTTTTGTATATTTAATGATAGGCTTTTGACGGTGACTAGAAAATTTGTCGCAATAGCAGATTTATCGTACTCGTTATATCAAGTTTTGATAGTATGTTTTCTTGAGATTTCCTTATTTATCAAACTCTGAATGACTCAATTTAAAATTTGCCTCATGAATCATTATAGCACTGTAGTAATGCATAAAAATCTCAACTTTAGATTTTAAAAAAAAGTGTTCCGTTTTTAATTTTGTTATTGTTGTCGTCGGCCATTAAGGCAAAGGGCGCGATAGTTCTTATTTTCCAGTGGCGCCATCTATGGCTAAGAATTTGATTTTCGCCACACCCATACGTTTAATCATTCTTACATCCCTTCATTCATCCACAGATCGTAATTTTGCTTAATTAAAACTACAATTCAGTACCGCCAGAGGTATGATTTGTTATGGGAACATGGAAGACATTGTGACCCGACAGATTTAACGTACACCAGTCACCATTTACCACATGGAGAGTCTTCGGCCGGCTGGATTCGAACTCGCGTTCTCATGAACGAGAGTCCATCCGCCTGCTGATCAGGACTAGGCCTTGCCTTTTAATTTTGTTTGAAGCAGTTTTTGTTTGAAAGGTTCACTGGTCTCATATCCTAAAAAGTTCCAGTTTCTGTGATGAAACACCCATAAAATATGTTTCAAAAGTCTTTCATTTTCATATGTGGTATCTAAATTCAGTAATTTTTTCTTTAATTAAAAAAAAACCGTTTCAAAACTGAAACTAAACGAAGGAAAAATAGGAAAAAATAATAATTGAAAAAATATGTTTTAAAGAACTGTTAAGTTTAAAAATAAAATTAAATTTGACCTGAATTCTAGAATATTTTGACCAACAAAGGTGATGGTTAGAATATTAAATCCCTTGCAACAAATATGTAACGAACAATACAAATAGTTTGCTTAGCTAATTAAAAACATTTTACAACCAATAGGTATCTTTTTCACGAAATTATAATGAGGGACGCTAAAGATTAGTCACAACAAAAATTTTTATGTAGTGTCTTAGGTAATCATTGATAATGCACCTCCTCCCCCCTTGTAACAATAAACAAATCACAAAATCCCTTCTTCTTCGGTTTTACTTACTTTTAGAACGACCACAAATTAAATAATTAGTCAGTTTTCATAGACAATGTGAGATTTTTGTCTTCGTGAATAGATATATTTCATAGAAACCGCAAGAAATTGTGTTCACGAAGAATTGTGTTTCCCACACAGTGCTGACGTAAAATATTGTCAGTGGTAGGCGGATCATGGGTTAAAAGCAAACTGTGGGAGATTTCCCTCTCCGTGTAACGCAAATGCTGGTTAGTTCCATCATAAAGTCCTCCACGAAGGCTAGTTTGTCCTAGCACTTGATACAGGAGTTTCCTTGTCTTCTGGTTTTAGTTCAAAATTACAAGGTTACTGAGTTAAAGATTGATAGTCGAAAACTCAGAATTGGGTCGACTTTTCAACACCGGTAATTAAATAAAACTTAATCCTTTAGCCCGTTTACCATTGCAATTTCATATACCATTTTGTTTTTTTTTAAATTTCTATCTATTTTCAGTTCTAAAAATAACTGCTTTTTACCCTGATGATTATCTGATAAGAGTACGCAAAGTTAGTTCAATCCATTTTTGCAACTATCTTAATAATGTCTAATAATGAGAGTAAATTAACTAATGTTTATAAGCTGTAAATGTGTTCATAATTTTGGGTATAAATACAAATATGTTTATCATAAAATATTCTTAAATAGGGTATTTTAATAGGATTACTTTTATGATAAAGACGCATTGTTTTTATTTTTAAGCCTTTAATTTCGAATGATCATCAAAGTAATAATAATAAACAGTAAGAAAAAGGATGATAAATAAAAATCTTTAAGTAGTTGCTTAGGTTTTAAAGTCTTGGTTTCATAAAAATGCACTTATAGCTTTCATAGTAATTTTATCATGGAATATTTCTTGAGATTAAGAATGTTGTTATTGTTGTTGTTGTTAATTTACGTCGCCCTAGAGCTGCACAATAGGCTATTGGCGACGGTCTGGGAAACATCCCGGAGGATGATCCGAAGACATGCCATCGCAATTTTGATCCTCTGCGGAGGGGATGGCTCCCCCGCTTTGGTAGCCCGACGACCAGCGCGCGAAGTCGAGCACTTTACGGTAGCACAGTTTAACGAGGACAAATAACGCACACCCTCGGTACCTACGCAGACTGATCCAAGTGTTCACCCACCCGCACACTGACCGCAGCCTGTGATGCTTGACTTCGGTGATCTGCTGGAAACCGTGTCTTAACGATCAGTCCACTACGGGAGATATTAAGAATGAAAAAATATTATAAAAATAAACAATATCTTTATAAATTTTATAATTTTATGCTGACGATAATATCATCATAGAACTGAATATGGTACTTGCTATTAGTACCGAAACGATAGCCTATCTCTCGAACTTATTTATTTGTACTCATTGCATTGTTTTCCCACTGTAATAGTAATGTGAAAAGCATGATATCCCAATGAAACTGAACATAGTACTTGCTAACAATAATACCGAAACGAACTCTTTCATTAATGCTTCTTATGTTGTTTTCATATAATTTTAGATGAGGCGAAAACCATACTATCAGTAGCTGATCCAGCGGGGGGTGGGGTCATGACCCCCCAAAGAAAAAAAAATTTTTTTTGAAGGGAAAATTTTTTATTTCCTCAATAGTTTACAAAAGAAATAAAATACTTTAAAAATTATTTAAGGGGGCATAAGGGGGAATCTGAGTCTAAGACCCCCCCCAGGAAAAATTTCTGGATCCGCCCCTGCATACTATCACCATGGCATGGAGTATGGTACTTGCTAATTGTACTGAAACGTTCGTCTATCTCGCGAACTCGTGAACTTATGCTCTAAGGATATATAATTTTTTATATATCCTCGACACATTTTATAAAAAGATATTAACGTCTTAAAAAAAATCATGATTTTCTAGAGATAAAAACTTGCACCAGATGGCGTACTCAGGATTAGACGGTGGGAAACTTCAAATAAAATGGTTTGTTTCGTGACTATCATTTATTTTCTTTCTTTTGACCGTTATTATAACTTTTTCTTTGGGGGGGAGGGGGAGTAGACTTAAATTTCTAAACTATAGAAATAATAAGTTTTTTAAACTGCCAAAATAAAACAAGCTCTGTAAGCCGATTTGGTGTTGCTACATAGAAAGTAAGTTTTCAAAAATCTTCCGAGATGGTCTCTATTCTCATGCATGTTTAGCATTCAATGTCATCATAAAACAGGATAGAAAAAAAATTAATTACTTAGATATATCGATATTTCATCATTAATAAAAACTTACCCGAATCTCTACAGCAATAGAAAGTGTTTTGTGTTCTATTATTTTCGGAACAGGTAAAAGGGTTTGTTTTCATGAACTGTCAAATGCAATTCATCCTTGATTTGTATCCGACAACCTCCGTCTAGACAGACATTTAAAATGCGTCTGGCCAACAACTGCTTCTTAATTTAAAAGAAAAATACCCAGCTTCACAGGAAGCGATAAGAAGGGAATATAAAAAATAAAAAGAACGCTAAACGGAAAAAAAACGAAGCTGCCATTGAAGTTCGTAAAAATCTTTTGTTTTAAAACAGAAACTAAACCGAGTGAGGAATTCTTATTGAAAGAGTGACGGTTCGTTGTCCTAGAGTTGCCGAGGAGCTCTCAGAACGGGAGAATTTCCGGATTTAATAGAGTCAAGGCATTTTAAATACACTTCTGGTCTAGACTGTGTACTAGACGGAGCTAATTGATATTGTTCGAGGAATATTATTAAATTATGTCTGGAACTCAGTTATTATGATTAATTGCATAAACTATTGCTTCTGGTTTGAGAAAAAAATAAAATCTCTAAGGAATTCATTACCTAACTGTGAAAGGTTGAAGAATTTTAATAAAGGTACGCGATTTAAAACACTTGAATGATCTACCAAGTAAGACAAAGCGATTCATTAATTTTTTTTTGCCCTCAATTTGAAGTCATGACAGTTTTATTAGCGTTTAATGGGATGGGGTGTCATGCTAACCATAATATTGCAAATAAGCGACTTATTTTCTAAATAAAAAGCTTTTAAATGGATGAAAAGTGGAAATTATCAGGTGAATATGAAGAAAGTCACATGAGCCTATCATTATTTTTTAAGCTCACGTGACTTATTTAATATTATTTATTCAATTGACTTTTGATTATACTTAGTAAAATCTTTCCAATTTTTTTAGCCCTGGCAGTGGTTAAGGTGCTGAGTTGTTATTGGTCTTAGGAAGTAAAGGCGGTCGGTGCACAATGTTGACTTTATTGCTACCATTATGCCATGACTCACAAGATTATGAAACTTTAGATTCCATGATGTATCCTCAATGGTGCAGAAGCGGGGACACTTTTCCTCTTAAAAACACTGCACAGATTTAAATCTATAGCATAAATATGCATAAAACATATTAAAATTTTTTTTATCAAAAATCAACTGTAATACTTAAAATTGAGAAGAAAATCACATTTTTAAAAAAATGTAATTGAAAACAATTCTTGTTTAATCTTGAAATCTAAACAGATGGTTTACAACATACGGGGAAGAGCCTGTGATTGGCTAAAGTCAAAATTTACGATAAAGAAAATAAATAAAAATTTCACCATAGAATTAGCATGGTCATTGAAGACTAAATAAGATGGTATCGTTAGCTGATGGAATCTCAAAAATAGAAGTAGGTAATTTCTCTTCTTGTTTTGAAAATTAATCTTAACTATTTGAAGTATCTATTGAATGCAAAATTGATGTTAAACTGCTACATGTTTTCTAAAATTAATAGCTTTTAAATACTATGACGTAAAGTGATTACGGTTTAAATATACAATGAAAAACGTTTGCTCCTCTGCAACGGCAGTTTTCTTGGTAATTAGTAAGTTCTAGTAGAAAAATCTGCTATATTTAAAATTCTAGATCAATAAATCAATTTTGGCATAGTTACGTCAGTATATATGGCATAGCAAATATGGCATGGTAAATATGGCATAGTAAATATAGTCAGTTTGTATGGCATAGTACTTGGGCTCATAAACATTTGCAAAAATTGATAATTATTCATTGATGTAGATAATTTTCTACTATTTAGTAAAATCTCACCAAAGAGGAGAATTTTTTAAAAGAATTAATCTTTTTTAAAATATTTAAATTATATTAGGATATTTAAATTGCTATTTTTTTAAATTTTTTTATTCTAAAGCTCTGATAACGCTTTATGGCAAGAGAATGCACGCAGTTTAAAATTATAGCCTTGCTTTAAGTTCGGGGCATTTAAAATTTTATTCTTGCTAAAAAACAGTAAATATCAAAATTCCTTTTTACCCTTATTTCATAGTTTCCCATAATAAGAAACATTGGAAAATACATTCATCATAAACACCGCTGATAAATTAAAATTTATTAACGAATTTCTATTATCTTCTGCTGTATCTTTCTTTATCAGGAATAAAAAATATTTAATGGTTGCGTAGTTCAGTAAATTGCTTTTTATTTATTTATTTACATCACTATTATTAAAAATTATGTCTCCCAATAATAAAAAAAAGCCGTTCTTGAGATTAGCTTTATTATAAAAAATGTATAGCATTCTTTTCAGTGCTTTTAAGGTAAAAAGTCGAAGTCGTTAACTATTTTTAAAAAAATGCTTTATGAAAAGAGGAAAAAATAATAAAAAATGGTAGATATAATTTGAGTCCACATTTTTCAATTTACCTTTCCATTTACACAGATATGCTTTTAACTGTAACCGCAAGATCGAGGCGCGGAACAATGAACTTCCAATTCATTAAGATTCGAGCACCCCCTTGTGTCGTCCAAACAAACCACGCCCCTATCTACTGTCCGAAGTTGGTCTCTCATATTTCATTATCTACTAATGATCCACCTTCCGTTCGTGGTTGCTATGTGTGGTCGCGACTCTGATAAAGCGAATCCAAAACTGTTTTTGGAGCACTTACAGAAATTGAACCAAGAATGACCAACAAAAAGTGAAAGTTGGAGCAAAAAAAAAATTATGTTTAAGTAACAAAACATGTCGAACAATTGAATCACGCTTCGTTAAGGGTGTGTGGGTTTTCAAACGCAAAAGGAGTTTAAAAAAAAATTTCCCCTCATATCCTACTAAATTTTTTTCTGTAAAAAGTTTTATGACCGTTGCTGAACGGCCGACCCAATTTTGAATTTACGACTCATGTTCAACTCCGTACCCTTGCAATTTTGAACCCAATCCAGAAGACCAGGGAACCCCTGGATCAAGTAATGGGAGGAATGAGGCCACTAACCCACATTTACGTTACATGGAGATGAAAACCACGAATACCTCCCACTGTTAGCCGTACGGAAAGGGGACTCTAACCCGTAATCGGCCTACCACTGAGGATATTTTACGTCAGCACTGTGGTCGGTGCGAACCGGGTGCGGAATGACTATTGACCAGCCATCGCTGGTTTTTGAACTCGGTTCATCTCATTGGGAGGCGAACGCTCTATCCCCTGAGCCACCACGGCTCGTAAAAAGATGTTGCTAAATTTTTAGAAGCTGTGATTTTATTTTGCCTGTTTGTTTATGGATAAAATTACTAAATAAAAATCCGAATTATTAAACTATGCAAATTTTAAAGTTTTGTTTTATGAATCATTATTCACCTATACCAGGGATGGCGAACCAATGGCACGCGTTCCATTTACGGCACGCAACACAATATTTTGGGCACGCCACCGATCACAATTGCTATTGCACCATGAATTGTTATTACACAAATGTTATTACACTATGAAGCATATGTAACAATTAATTAAAATTCACGAAAAAACAAAAAATAAAAAACAATTGTTAATAAAAAAATTAATTAATGCTAAAAAAGCAATAACCATAAAAAACAAGCTAACAATAAATAACTAGCAAAACATCAACAGTCCTGCTTAAACTAATATTTTACAACCTAATATAAGCTATTTGTCATTTAATCTGTAATAACAGAAGTCCCACTGATATTACTTTAAGTTGAATTACGCTTAAAACTGAGACATTGCAAAATTTATTTTCTTTTCAATGTAAATAAATAGCTTTGAGTAGATAGTATTTAGTATTATTTTCCCAATAATCATGAAGTCAAAATTATTTGACGGCACGTCTGTGATTTCATTAAACAATTTTTTAGAAAAAATGGCACGTTGGTGTATAAAGGTTCGCCACCCCTGACCTATACTGTCCAGTATTAAACATTAGCCTCTTCTCCCAATTTTGATTACATTAAGAATATTCAAAGTTGGACTAAGTCTAAGGTTTTAGCGAAACACGCTTAAACAATTAATAGAGAAAGTAAGTTTATATCATTACGTGATATTTTACAATTAAATGTAATTATATAAATACGTTTACATCTTTGTACATTCAATTTTTACGTTTGTAATATTTTACAATCATAGATCTAAAAAGGTTACTAACATGTATCACTGAAAAAACATAATTAAGATTGCAGAGTCATTTTTTAAAAATATTTTTTTTAAAAATTCAAGAAAAAAAGAAATTATTTCGATTTTAAAATTTAATAAACAAGCAGTAAAATCTCTATTGAGTAAAATCCTATTAAAAAACGTACATAAGAAGATACATATAATTTAAAATTTTCCTTTCAATAACTTCAAATTAATTGGTCTCTTCGAAATTCAACTGACTATAATGAGTAAAATCCTATCAGAATAATTTACCTCTATAAAGAGTTACTTATTATTTAAAATTTTCCTTTCCAAAACTCCATATTACTTGGTCTATCCGGAATTCCACTAACTATAATGAGTAAAATCCAATCAAAATCATTTCCCTATATAAAGAAATACATATAATTTAAAATTTTCCTTTCCAAAACTCCATATTACTTTCTTTCCGGAATTCCACTGACTATAATGAGTAAAATCCAATCAAAATCATTTTCCTACATAAAGAAATACATATAATTTAAAATTTTCCTTTCCAAAACTCTATATTACTTTTTCTTTCCGGAATTCCACTGACTATAATGAGTAAAATCCCATCAGAATAATTTACCTCTGCAAAGAGAAACTTAAAATTAAAAATTTTTCTTTCCAAACAACAAATTACTTGATCTTTCAGTAATTCCACTGACTATAATGAGTAAAATCCTATCAGAATCATTTACCTCTATAAAGAGATACTTATAATTAAAAAAATTTCTTTCCAAAACACAAAATGACTTGATCTTTCCGGAATTCCACTGGCTATGATGTGTAAAATCCTATCAGAATAATTTACATTTAGTCAATGAAGATTATAGAGAATTAAAAAAAAAGAAGCATTCCTTGAAAATTAAATCTTAATCATAGTTCCGCCAGTCTATAAAGATGTCCCGCTATTTGTGAATGATCCTCAACAAAATGACACTGTTTCACAAATTTTCCTAAAGAGAACATTTTACTGCGGGAAAAACCCTTCAATGCTGATTCTCCTACAACTACATTAGCAATTTAAAATGTATAGTTCAGGGGAAAAAAGAGAGCTCGAAAACAAGTTATACAGTTTAAAAAGTTGAATTTTTTTTCTTCAAAATATAGAATTGTAAGAAAATGATATCAGGGAAGTGATCCAAATGAATATTTGAAGTGGTAACTGT